ACGCCCTTTTGGCGAGGTGTATTTCTCTGTTTCGCCGGCAGTTCACTTGTCAAAAACGGGTGGGAGTCATCTCGCAACGTTGGCCGATTTTGTGCTTCTAGGCAAAGCAGCGGTTTTGGCGAGCTTCACTCGATATATTAGCACATTCGCATTGTTTGCAGGCATGTTAGGTAACGGCACGCTTGTGGCTGATCCCGCATCAGACCATACCTGCCGCTTTGTTGTGGAGCACATGGGAGAGTTGTCTCCTTGAAATGGATGAATGGATTCTTTTTTCGTGTTGTAGTATCGACTTCTACAATTCCACTAATGAGCACCCTCCACTGTCTCGTTTTTCTCAAAGCAAGGTAGAGCCCATTCCACAAGTACACCATCTCGGTCAAGAATGCCAGAATCCTTTCGCTCATGAACTTGCGAACGTCGTATACCATTTCGCCATCCAGCTTGTTGTCGAACACCTTGACGAGTAACGCAGTTCCCAGTGAACCCCCAACCGACATTCCGCAGCATACCGAAGCGAGGGAGCCACGCGTAGCAATTCGCAACTGTGCGAATTCCACCATGCGAAATATTTCTGGGGGTTCGTGGATTTTGGAGCCAGTTTGCAGTTTCAACACAATCGAGTTGGGAGGGGTTGGTCTGCACATGGTCTGCTGATTTTTTAATACGGTTTGGTAGGCTTATATACGATGAACAGCGGTTTCTACTCTTCTTTCAGATTATGTGTAGGTTGGGCAACCTGCGTTGCAATATGCTGTGAGTCAGCCACAGGGATTGTTTGCATTTATTCTTTTCTTGTTAGGCAGTGTTGTAGAAGCAACGTCGCAGTTGTAGTAACCTCTAGAGCGCCCAAATTCCATAATCTCGTACCATAAGCTTCCGTAATTCATTAAGTTGTTATGAGAATGCTTGCTAGTCTCTCGTAGAAGCGTTCTTTCAGCGCACCTTCTTTACCTTCCTTATGTCCAGTCTCCGTATCACTTAGCGACGGAACGGCGCAGGAATCGTCCTCGCGACAAGCAAGGCTTGATCCGAACGGAAGTCTGGGCGAGTAACCTGGTGCGGAAGACAAGAGGAAAGGGTGTAAAATGGAGCTCTTCTGAATGACGACGAAACCAGGTCAATTAAATTCATCAGGATTAGTACAGCAGCCTATGCATTCTCCATTCGATTTTTCTCTGGTAGTTTTGTATTTTTCGGATGGCCTTTTTGGGGTGTTATCTCATTCAGTGGTGTTGTGTCATTTTGTGTTTTTAACTCGTCGTTAGAACCACGCCTGGGTTATCTTGTGAAATGCCCGAAACCAAACACAGCCCTATTGATTGTCCATTACCAGGTAATTTCTTGGGTTCTCTGGCGGTATCTGCAGCGTCACCAGCTTTTTCTATCTATGCAAACGCTCCATATGCACCAGCTTTTTTGCCAAGCTTATAAACTATGAACCGGATAACATACCCTTCGTATCCTCACTTCCCCAGATCCTTTCACTCTTTCTCTTCCCCTTCCTCCCCACATTCCCACTTTCAATTCCCTCCATCCATTCGCTACATTTCTGCAGTCAACTTTTTAAAGCTACGCAATTACTTTGCTAGATGTTCAATAAAACAATTCCAAGCTAATTTCCTCCCTCTGTTTCTCCCATACTCCAACCACCAATCTTTTTCCCTTTCTCTCCCCTCTCCCCCTTTCCTTACTTCTTCTTTCTCTCCCCTTCCAGGTGATCCCCTCCATTAACGACAATCTTTAAAATCCACTCTATGAGGCAACTAGCTTTATCGTGTCGAAGAAGTTCTCCACAATTTTTAAGTAAACAACACAAACTCGTCCCTCTACTCTGCTTCATCCTCACTCTGCTCAACCCACCTCCATCCCCCTCTCCCCTCCCCCCCCCCCCCTCCCCCTCTTTTTTTCGGCCCACCTTCGGCCAATGCATCCTCTCCCGCGTTCCAGATGCTTCCCACCCCACACATGGCCCAGACTCCAAAGGATCCTCAGGAGTGACACCACAAACACATCATGCATGGCTCAGACCCAGACATGCCTCCTCTACAAACCATTGCCGCAGTAACAAAGTGCTCTGACCCAGACCCGCCGATCCAAGAAACTTGCATTTCAGATCTAGATGATGACGTCATCATCAACGTCTTCCGGCGCCTTCCAGGAAGGCGCGGCAATTTCGCCCACGCCCTGGTCTGCCGCCTCTGGCGCCGCCTGGCGTACGAAGCCCTCGTTTCAATCACATTCGAGCAGGACCGGCGCTGCAGAATCCTCCTTTCCCTCCTCAACTTCCCGAACCTATCTTCCCTAACCTTTCCCGATAACTCCTTGGCTTGGACGTCTGACACGATTCTGGAAACGGTTTCAGTGTACTGCCCGAACCTGCGGGAGCTTCGGATAGGCCACCAAGGCTACGGGGCCACGTTCGGAGAGGCAGGACTGAAGGCGATTTTTTGCGGCTGCCCGAAGCTGGAGCTGCTAACTTTTGAGAGCTTAAACCGCTCGCCAGTAGCGATCCCGGAAGAACTTGGGCTGGCAAAAAATCTTAAGCTGCTGAAGATTGGAAAATGGGAGAACGGGTTCTGGGATGATTCTAACCTTGAAAGCATGCCCGAAACTCTGGGCAGCCTGACAGAACTTTCTGAGCTGACCATCGCTAGCGACAAACTTTCTCACCTGCCTGACGTTTTTGGCCCACTGGCAGGCTCCCTCAGTTCAGTGCGCATCCGTTCGATGGAACTTTCTTCCCTGCCCGTGTCAATGATTCTGCTAACTTCCCTGACTAGTTTGGAGCTTGAATGCATGGTTCTTTCGAAGCTGCCCAAAGCCATCTATTCTCTTTCTGCCCTAACCAGCTTGACTCTCTCTTGCTGCGGAACTTTGACCCACCTGCCCGAGACTCTGGGCAGCTTGCCGCAACTCACACACCTCAAACTTCACTCCTGCCGGTTTCTTTCTGGACTGCCCGCATCAGCAACTGCCCTTTCTTCCCTTGAGACTCTCACCATATCCCGCTGTGCTTCTTTTTCTGCCCTCCCCAAGTTCTTCGGGCAGCTGAAATCTCTACGCACCCTGCACCTGGATGTTTTTGAAAGTTTTGAGTCGCTGCCTGAGTCAATGGGTGATCTGCAGAGTCTTGAAAAAGTTTTCCTATCAGCTCCGGGCATCAAATCTCTCCCAAATTCGTTTGGACGGCTGAGATCTCTCCGAGAGCTTGAGATGGAGGGCTGCGAGAAACTCTGGTACATTCCATCATCGTTCGGGCAGCTTTCAAATCTTCGGGTCCTGCGGATCATCCAATGCCCCATGCTCAGCAGTCTGCCCGGATCTTGCGGGCAGCTTTTCGGGCTGGAAGAATTTGTGGTGGGAGAATGTGGGCATTTTCACGTGCCTTCAGCTCTATCAAGCATTGTGACGTTTGAAAGCCCGATCTTCTCACTGCTGCAGATTTAGAGAAGTTGATGTTCAATGCGAGGACGTGGTTTCAACCTCAGGTAAGTGCTAGTCGTTTCGTGTGTGCATGTACGTGTGTGTACGCCTGCGCGTGCGTGTGTGCATGCATGTGTGTGTGTATATGCTTCATTTCAGGTAACGTACGCCTGCCTGCATTATGTTTATTTCATGTATTCAACTAAACTTTTTTATTTCTGACATACTCACCCATAGTGCCACACTACTGTAGAATCATGTTCACTCGCCCTCTCACAGACTCCCCTTCTCCCTCACCACGTGTCCACGTACAGGAACCAGTCCCTGCAGTGTTAGCACCACTGCTGCCATCACCATAGAAATTGGCAGCAGCAGCAGCAGCAGCAGCAGCAGCAGCAGCAGCAGCAGCAGCAGCAGCAGCAGCAGCAGCAGCAGCAGCAGCAGCAGCAGCAGCACTTGTGTTGTCAGCGTGGAGACGAAGTGATGCGTCTTATTCCCAGATGTCCACGTACAGGAAGCAGTCCGTGCAGTGTTACCAGCACCACTGCTGCTATCGCCATAGAAAATTGGCAGCACCAGCACCATAAGCAGCATCACCACCATCTGCAGCAACATCATCACCAGCATCAACAGTACAACAACATCAGCAGCAGATTCACCAGCAGCAACACCACCAACACCAGCACCACCACCACTGACACCACCACCACCACCACCACCAGCTGCAGCATCAACACAGCACCTGCACCATCAGCAGCAGCAATGCCAGCATGAGCTTTTCTGGCGAGTGCTTGGCTGCTCACCTTGTGGCTGCTCCAACAAGAGTTGAAGGACTGATGGGCAGGGCTGACGTTTCAAATTAGGCCTCCCTGAATCCGGGAAAAAAATTCCCCCTGTATTATGGGTGCACATTTTTCAGAAAAACATCACCTTGATTGCTCAGTGTTGGGAAGTTATGTAGTCTGATTGCTCAGGGTTGAGAAGTCAGGATCAGGGTTAGTAACGCGCTGTGCATTATCGAAACTTGGCATGGTTCGGATATTTAGAGGATCTTGTGTGGATTTGATGACCAATCAAATCGGGCGACCGTTCGTTCTTCAGATTTCTGGTTGCACACTGTATGTGACTGGTGATTTACACCTTATGCTCGTTACAGCCCCTCCCGGTTGCCTTGTGAAGGGGGACTGTAAGCTAAAACCGCATTTCGTCGGTTCGTAGAGGGTTTCGTCAGGCTTTGCGCGTGCATGTATCGCGCATATGGTAACCACACATTTTGTCTCTAATATAACAGTGTCGGATGGCACTAGTTGTCACAAGCGTGTGTTACAAAAATCCTTACGATAACAACACACACCCTGGAAACAATGACAACCTTTGTTCAACTTAGATTGAAACAACAGACAGGCAATGACGCACCAACCATAATCCGCCACATCAGCATTAACCCCCATCAAGAAACCATCCCCTGTACTGCAAATGTGCCCGTTATGTGCACAATTTCATCAAACTACACCTGCAACAAAACTCCCCGACTCCCATCTTCGACTCCTGATCAAGTGTTGTGAAATTCCAGCTCACACCTGCATCCACTCGGCCGCCTCCACGTACCCGCCCATCGCGGCGCCAACCCCGGCGTCAAGAAGCTGCTGACGGCGGGACGGCTGGGTCATCCAGCCAGGCAGCACACGGCCCCGCGGATGCTGGGCCTCCTCCGGCGGGGTTGGGCTCGTCGAAAGCCTGGGCGGCGGGGCCATGCTGAGAGCCAGCGCGGGGCTTGCACGCTCCATGCGCTCAATGATGACCGGATTCCGGATGTCGAACAGGTGGCACAGGTCGCGCGGGGTCACGTTCACGGCGCGCGCGTAGCCGATGAGCATCTCGCTGGCCGCCCGTGCCGTGCGCCGCGCCTCACGGCCGATGGGGTCGTTGTCGTCATACACGGCCTGCATCGTGGTCGGCGCCCTCCATAGCTCCGCCACCAGGCCCACGTCCGCATCTTCCGGAGACGTTCCCGCCGCCGCCTCCGCGCACGTCGGCTCGCCCTCGTCGATGGCGACGTACTCGGCGGCGGTCATTGCGCCGGCGCCGAGCCCAAGCCCGCATATGAGCTCCCCGACATTGTCGATGTCGTCGTCGAGCTCAATGTCCGGGTAAGCATGGGGGGTGGGATCGTCATCATGCACATGCGTGAGTTCCAGCGACCACGACAGAGGCAAGCAGCCCGTGCGCCAGAAGCACCTCTGGATGGTGCGCGCTCCGACGCTCATCCAGGCGTCGGAGAGCCAACCGAGCACGTCGCGAAGATTGGGGCGCCAGCGGGCGACGGCACTGGTTGCGCCGTCGTCATTCCACAGTGCAGTGAAGGCCTGCAGCCAGTGCTGTCGATAGCGAGCCTTCGCTGTCGCGATCATGCCCTGGTCGAGGGGCTGCGTGTAGGAGGTTGTGTTAGGCGGCAGGAAGACGAGGCGCACATTGCTGAGGCAAGTGGTCCGCATGCCGCAGACGATTTCGCTCCAAGCGCACTCGTCCCGCAGCATGTGGGAGCTTGCATTGTCGAGCAGCACCGCGATGTGCCTCCTCTCGGCATACATCGCGGCATTGAGCTGCGATATGAAATGCGTGAACAACTGTTGGATGGGAGTGGAGGGAGGGTGGACGGGGACGGTGAGGGGGGGGTGTGGGGGGAAGGGGGTAAATGCGCGCAATCACGCAGGCGCCTGTGACTTACCGAGCTGGTCATCCAGCCTTTCGCGTTGTGCCGCCAGTAGCACAGAGCTTCCGGGTCGTAGTCCAGCCTGAAGTCATGCGGACGGCGCGCCTTGCTGATGACCAACGGCCGGAAGACGTGGCTCCCGTCAGCGTTGACGAGAAAAGCCACCGTCAGGCGGTCCTTCGAGACCTTGCGCCCGGGAATGCGCGCGTTGCTGTACGTCTTACGCGGCAGCACAGAGAGCCACAACGCAGTCTCGTCAAAGTTGAAAGTGTCGCGCGGTTGGTAACCGAGGTGAGTCAGAAGCTGCGGCACTTTCTCACGCGCCTCACGCACAGCCGCCATGTCGGCGCTCGCCGCCTCGCCGATGGCTGCACGGCACCGCACTCCTTGGCGCCTCAACGCACGGCGGACCCAGCCAATGGAGCAACGGAACGCGGGCGGAATGCCCATGCGTCGCGCCATCGTCGCCACGTGGTCGCGTATCGTCTGCAAAGTGAGTGGCACGCCCGCGGGGCCCGCGTTTGCGATCCAGCGAGCCATGGCCTGCTCAAGCTCAGGCCATGCGCCGCCCCGGCGCCGCACCTGATTGGGGGCGTTGGGTTCCTCCAGAGCCCAGCGGCCCGCATTCTTCAGGATGCGGCCGACCGTGGAGCGGTCAGGTCGCAGGCCATACTGGGCGTAAACCCAGCGTGCAAGATCGACGTGGCGCAGGAGGGGATAATCGACGTGATGCGCGCATAATGCGCGCTTGATGAATAGCGGAAGCTGCTCGCGGCGATGGTGGCGAGGCATTGTGGGAGGCTAAGGCGGGGAGATACTGATGCTCTTGTGAATTTGCTCATCAGTTTATAACTTGTGTTTAGGACCGCGGATAACCTGCTCTGGGGCCCGTTCAGGGTGACGGGGGTTGAATTGTGTTGTGATGATTCGTTACATGCACCCTGCTTACAATTTCATACATGTGGTTGGGTTACCACCAGAGTTATACTCTGACGTGGGTTAGGCGAACAACGCCTGGATGTTAGTGGCCTTGTACCCCACAATTGAGGTTTACACGTGGCAGCGTGCACCAGGCCAGATGTCTGTTACACGCACCTTGAAACTTGCCTAGGTGGCGGGGTAGGTGGGCGAATGCAATTACGAAACCATTTTCATTTCGTCCATTCGTTTCGTCAGGTTGGCGCCTGGCCTAGAAACAAGGGGAAACATGGGTCGGCATTGCTTGTTGTGGTCTGCACGTGGGGGGGAGGCCGAGCCGCGTTCACTGTAGAAGGCCATCCAGGTGCCTGTACATGGGGTGCAGCAAGCAGGGGTTTCGAGTTCGGGGGCAGCGTGTCCATCCGGTGCATGGCAAATTCGCGTGCACTGGTCGGGCATCATGTGTAGACCCGAATTGAATGGTCACATCACAACACCAGCGTCATACTGTAGCAAATTCGCATTGACAAAGTGCATTCGCGCCGTACAGTACAGAGCAACAGATTTGCCCGATCACAGAGAAATGGCCCTGGCACAACAGCCGCTGTCAGAGCACAACCATTTCGACCAATCACAGCAACATATATCTGGCATTGCAGATTCGGCCGATCTCGATGGTGGGTGGGTGTATCTAGACGAAATTTCTGAAAAGTTTCGTTTCGATAATGTGGGGGAAGGGGGATTCCGCACCTGGGGGGTGCTGCGATGCGATCAATCCGAAGGCGAGGTTATCGAGAGAAAATTTCGGAGAAACTTCCTCTCGATAATGTCTCATTTGCGGGGTCCACAGAACTCGTACTTTGTAATGACAGCGTCCGTAAGAAGACTACTCTGAACGTGTATACAAAATTTCAGGGCCTGCTAAAGCGTTAGTCTGAATGGATCAGTGTTCACAAGGCGTAAATTCTTTTTTTTTTTTTTTTTGGTAATTGCATTATACACCGAATAGGCAAGTGTACAAAAGCAAGAACAGTCGTAACTGCGCTTGGAGGCTAGGTGATAACCCGCCTCAGTGTAGCTGCCCTGGCCTGATGCTGCCCCTTCTTTGTCGCGTCCAAATGGCTGCAAAGCCCGCCTTCCACGTCCACTTCTTTGCGTTCCTGTCCCTGATTCGATCCAGAAGCTTCATCTCCTGACTCGGCCCTCCACCACGTGTCACCTTTTGCCCTGATGCGTTGTCTTTCTGCAGTTTCTCACCCGCGTGTTTCATGAAGACCCTCGCATGCAGCCGAAACGCTGCCTCTATCCTCCATAGTACCCGTCTCAACCGGAATTTTTCCTCCCGGAAAGCCGCTTCACATCTCTCAACCCACAGCTGATGGATAGTGATCGCCGTAAGTGTTGCTTCTGGAAATGCTGAGCTGGACGCCGCTCGCCCAAAAAGAAGGTCGCCCAGCGATGAAATGTTGCGCCCGGGGTTAAGCATCTTGAGGGCTGTTTTCAAAGCTCCCAGCACTGGCTGAATCCTCGGGCACTCGAAAAGACAGTGCTCCATCGACTCCTCCTCGCAGCAGTACAGACATTTTGGCTTCGAACTGAGGAAGGCCAGCCTTTCACCGACCTGTAGGTTGAAATTATGCACCCTGATTAAAACATCTCTGGGGCGACTAGGCGTGGTAAGTGAATCACGGATCTTGGTCACCCGCTTCCAGTCAATTTCCCCCCCCCAACGGTTTGCCCACTTCTCCCTCCTCCGCGCCGAGTGCCCCTGTCTTCTCCATGCTAGCCGCAGGTGCTTAATCGGGGCGACTTGGCCGAGGTGAAAAATGGGTGTGCGGAATAGTTTACCCCCAGGGGCTACAACTGCCCTTCCCCCCGTGCCTGCGCCCTGATTTCCTTCCGATGAGGCGAGCAGCAGCTCCCTCCAGTTCTCAGGCGCGGCAGCCAGCCCCTTCAGCGCCAGCCGAGCAGAAGCTGTTCCAAGCGACAATGCTAGGGTCTCCTCGCTCTTTACTGCCATCCCACCGTTCGCCATGGGCGCCACCAGGTCCCCCAGCTTGATCTCCCAAAGCGCCTTAGCAGCCTTCTGTCCCCCAACCGGCGTTCTCGCGTTAAGCAGAATGCCTCTGTTGAAAACCAATCTCTCTGCGGCAACTTCTGCTGCGGTGAGAGGCATGCTGACCGAAGCGAACGGCGACGCCATGAAACATTCGCAGGTTTGCTTCCATCGCGCGCTCCCCCCAACCCAGTGTTTTAACAGCTTCTCATGCGATAGGAAAGTATCCAGTCCCAGCGGGAGGCCTGCTGCTGCGAGCATCATGTCTCGTTTGAAATCATCCGGCTCGGTGAGCAGGATTCCGATCCTTCTAGCGGCCAGACAGGTGACCAGAACCCCCGGGTCCTTCACACCAACTCCTCCCTCCTCCCGTGTTGCGAATATTGTTTCCCTCCCCCACAGGATGAAACACCCCTCCTCCGACGCGTGATTGCCCGAGAGGAAATTATGAATCAGCTTCGATATCCGACCCCAGACCTCCTGCGGCGGCGGGTAAACCTGCGCCTGGAAGGCGATGATCGGGGTAATGTAACCATTGATGACAACCGCCCTCGCCGTAATCGTGAGGTACTTCAGCTCCCATTTCCCCATTTCTCCCAGAAGTCTCAGCAGTGTCTTGTCCCATGTCGCCTTGCAGTCGCCTGAGGCGGTGACCCAGACCCCGAGCAGTCTCTCCGCATCATTTGCACCGGCCCACTTGAAACCGTCCGGCCTCCAAGGACGACCTCCAAGATTTCTGCCCAGCGGCATCACCACCGACTTATCCTTGTTTGTGGCCAAACCAGAAACACGCTCGAAATAGTCCAGCATTTTCCCTGCCTCTGCAATCTGCTCCCTCCCCTGCAGCAGAAGCGTGGTATCGTCCGCATAACCCAGGTAAGGCAGCCTCCTCCCCGAGTCACTGACAATGTCCAACTGCCTCTTCGCCGCTTCCTGGGCCAGAGGTTCCACCGCACAGATGAAAAGGTAAGGTGCGAGAGGACATCCCTACCGCACCCCCGAAACCACCTCCAAGGCGTCGCTCTTCCATGCGTTAATTAACAGCCTTGTTTTCGTTTCCTTGTGCAGGCCCCTCACCCAGCCCACATAACTCGGAGGGAAGCCCATCTTCTCCAGCGTCTCAAAAAGGAAGCCCCGGGAAACAGTGTCGAAGGCTTTTTGGAAATCCACCAGCAGCAAAAACCAGTCCTTGTCCCCTTTGTTTGCAGCATCAATGATGTCCGCCACCAGGCTGACCGCATCCGACAATCTCCGGCCCGGTATGAAACCGTACTGCTCCCTCGAGATCACCCGGTGCAGCACCTTCTTCATCCGGTCCGCCACCACTTTCGCCAGTACTTTGTAAGTGAAGTTCAAAAGCGTAATAGGCCGGTAGTTGCTTATTTGGCCCTTGTCGCCCTTCTTGTGTAGCAAGATCGTAACCGCCTCCTTGGTGTTTGCAGGCAGCGATGCAGAAGCTTCGAAGGAGCACGCCAGGCTCATGAAGCACTCTCCTAGGATGTCCCAATGCAGCTCGAACAGCTCTTTCGGGATCCCGTCCAAGCCCGGCGACTTACCGCACGCCAACGCCTTGAAAGCATTTTTAACTTCCTGCTCCGACCAATCCTGAGCAAGTCCCTCCGCCTCTTCTGCCGACAGCCTCCGGTCCGGTAACCAACTTGTTCGGTGAGTCCGTTTATCCGTTCCGAAGAGCCCGTTGAAGAAATCGGCAGCCGCATCTAGAATACCCTGCTTGTCGCACACCATCGTGCCGTTGACATTTAACTCAGCTATCCGCGTGCGCTGTTTCCTGGCCTTCACCCTTGCCGACAGGTGCTTCGAGACCACCTCCCCCTTGAGCTCTGTCCCATAACCAGCCATCAGATGGAGTCTGTCCCGTCGTGATGCTTGATACTCCCGCAGTTGACTCTCCTTTGCTCTTAGGAGCTCTCTCGTGCGTGTGCAGTTGGGAGCTCCCATGGCCGCCTGCTTTAGGTCCGCCACCGCCGCGGACAGGTGTCTCATTGTCGCCTTAACTCTCTTTCCTTCCTCCTTAGCATAGGCGCGGAGTCCCGCATTCAGTCGAGCCAGTAGCAGAACATAGTCCCCTCCCGACTGCTTCGCCGCTGCTTCAACCACTTTCCTTACCCCCGGTCTGTTGAGCAGGTGGGATGGAAATCTCCAGACACCCGGACCAAGCTTCGCGTTAGCGCCACAGCGGAAGGCCACTCTGATGGCAAAGCCATGGTCCGAGATCGGGTCGTCAGGTGACTTATGCGATGCTGACTCCAGGCCGAGAAGCAGCGACCGCGAGATCAGAGCACAGTCAATCCTCGTGCTGGACTGCTTCGCCATTGACTTGAAGGTGTATTCTCTCTTTGTGGGGTGTAGGATGCGGAAAGCGTCCGAAATCTGGAAGACCCCGCACCTGCGTACTAGCTTGGTGTTTCCAGCCGCTGAGCCTGCCCGTGATGTCTTGTCTAGAAAAGGATTATCTATCATGTTGAGGTCTCCCAAGATGAGGACGTGACTACCTGGGTCTATCCGATCAACCACTGGTCCGACAACATCCCTGATGAAACCGACCCGAGCTGCAGGCGATGCTGGAAAGTAAGTCGCTAAGAGAGTGATGGAGAGACCTTTACCTATAACCTCCGTCCTAACGAGTCTACCTGAAGGGTGAGTCAGTGCGTTTCTCAGCTGTATACCAGGATCCCAGGCGATGACAGCGACACCACCAGCCCTCTCTTAAGGCGTAACTGCTACGACTGAGGCTGCACCGAGTTTGTTCCAGTAAGAATGGTTCCCTGCCAATCTAGTGTCTGTGAGGATGTTGACGTCTGCCGCTGCTTTCATCCATGATGTGACCCATGATTGCTTCGTTAAATCCCCGAGCCCGTTCACGTTCAGGCCGGCAAATGACAGTACATTGTTGTTACTCATCTAATCACTCCCTGGCAGCCTTTATTCATCCACAGGCTGAAAGTTGCAACAAAACCGACTACCAGGAGACCTGCCGCTGCCGCCGCTGACCATGCAGCTAGAGTCCGTAATCCTTCTTGAGCAAGGCAAGGGTTGCCTTCTCCAATGTGACACGCGTCGCAGTACCCATCTTTTCCAGCTGCAGGAGATGGTTTGCCGACGCAATGTGGTCCGATGCCGTCATGAAAGACTTCCCCTTTGCTTTCCCGCAGCCCGTCTGTGTACATATCCATTCCTCCCTGTTGCAGCCCGTGGAAATAAGACCAATCGCCGGGTCCTGGAGAATAGGAGTGATCAGTGCGGAGGTGCGCAAGGAAGCAGCTGCGACAATGGACCCCATCGTTAGCATACGGAATGAAGTTGAAAGGTGGGGAGACGAGATACTGTTGCGGGAAAACACCACAGTTACCATTGATCCTATGCACCCTTCCCAAGGTAAGGTGCCACTTCCCTATGTTATTCTGCCGCTCCATGACGAACATATCATGATTTGAGTCATAATGATGCCCGCCACAAAGAGAGCAGGATAGCGAAGGGTAGTGGACCAGAATCTTCCTGCCGTTGTCCGTCGGAATGTTCACCGCCTGCCTCCACTTGTGCTTGTCTCCCGGGTGTGGAACGACCAGGCCTTTGACTGTCTCAGTGTCAGCACCCGTGACTGGGTGGAGGACGCGATGGAAATGCATTCCTTCCAGGAACGGCGGCTGCTGGCGAATCTTCAGCTTGTACCGGGACAGCAAATCCTTAAGCAGGTCAGGAGAAATGTTAGCGGGAACGTTCCTGAAAACAACTTCAATAGCCAACTGATTAAGCGACTTCTCCCTGAGATAACCCGGATTCTCCGTGTGTTGCCAGAACAGCTTAATCGGCGGACCATTTCCCGTCGACTTCTTGTAATCCACCTCCTTGTGACGGATAATGTTGATGTCGGCTTCGTGCAGGATCGAAACCTGAAGACGGCAGAACCTAGTCTTCGCGACGAATCCCGGTGAAAGCGTCTGGACTGATGCGGAAGCAGCGCCTTCTGGTGAAAGATCCTTCGACCAGACCTTCTTCAGCAGCGTCTTAACAGCAATGATGACGGAACCCAACTCCGGCTGCAGCATGAACGGAACCAGCAGGATGGCTGTGAAACGCAGACGTGAAAGAACTTCCTGTTTCACATCAAGCTCGAGTTCGTCGTCAGGATCATCGTCAATCAGATCAGCGGTAAGCGAAACTGCCTTTTCAGCAACAGACAAACCAGAACTCCCAGCCCCATTGTCCAACTACTTGCCAAAGTCACGATCATTCTCCTGATTCTTCATCGGCGACTTGTCTGATGCAGGAGAGTCAATGTTGTCAGTATTCTCCTGACCCCCGGACGACGTATCAGCAGGAAGCTTGGTAGCCTTGGAGCTCTTTGGCGGCATGTTGTGATGATGATAAAGCAGCAGCGTAGCGTTGATGTCGGAATGGTAGCTGAAAAGTTGTGCTGCCAGTCTGAACAATGGCTGCTTAAGTAGCTCCTTGACGTCCTTGCTCCAGTGCCGTTGCAACTTTGAAGTTAACCAGGACCCATTTTCAAGGCCCGAAATAAGTGAAATAAGTTGATACACTTGAGACTCCCTTGGTAGAACACCTTGTGTGATTGGCAGTGAATCCCTAATGTTGATTAAAGCCGCGGTATAATCAGTAACTGCCATGTCAGCATCGGGATTAGCCATAAAGCCAAGAGGTACAATGTCCGTTGCGTGGACACATTGATGGTATCCCCTGGTAGCTCGCGTCATGGCGATGCTGTTGGTAACGGTTACGATGTCAACTGATAAGGCAGCTTCACGAAATGCAGGATTCCAGTAAGCATAAGTCAGCCATGGCGGAGAGCTCGAGGTAGCAATGTATCTTGTGAAGAGTTTGCACTTAGACGCTAAGGGAAAATTCTGAAATTGCAGGGACGACAAGGTGAGAAGTCTGAAATCACCCTGAAATCAGGGTAATTACCGTGATAAAATCAGCCTGGGATCACAAAAGAACAGTACCGTAACTCATGTCTTTTCAACCCGAACGTTTTAACAGCATAGAAAATCAATCAGAAGCCTCCAGCAGTGTTACAACTGCACACCAGTTGAGCCTTGGTACTGATGCTAATTGCAAGTAATACCTGAAGACTGTTTGCTTTTAAAGTAGGTACGGTACACCATATGGTCCAGATACGCACAAGAATGCGGACAATATACCACTAAGATCTTGAAAATGTAGGAGTTGAGCTAGGCACGGTAAAGGCTTGAGAGCAGGGCCTATTTTATCAGAGCGTGTCCCTACGACCTCATATCAGGTCAGGTCAACCTTGTTGTATCGGACTCACACAAAACACTTATATATCGGACTCATTTGATTGTTTATTGTCTATTTCCTGGCTTGATGCGTGACAAACAACGTAGGGTGATTTACGCATCCTTGAACTCCACAAAACAAAAATCTTCCATTCATGTCAAGCGTGATTGCCAGACGTGGCCGACAGAGCACGCAACAAAGTTTGCGTGCGATGGGGGCTGATTTTATCAGGGTAATTACCTTGATTTCAGGGTGATTTCAGGCTTTCCATTTTGCGGAGACTGAAATTTCAGAATTACTGAGTTCTCGACCCTGTTCGAATCAGAGTAAGAGCGTATTCCTATCCTCGTGTCAAGAGAACCTCATATCAACCTCCCACTGAAAATTTCCCTAAACACAAAATCTCTTGCTAGTTTTACCAGGCAAAAGGTACAATCTTGATATGAGGTCTCTTGATACGATGATAGGAATACGCTCTAATAGTTTTCATATCCCTAATTTTGAGTATTGTGTAACAGACTAGCCTGTTAGTGGACCCTGACTTAATAGGGTATCAAATCTGTGGTCCCTGATTTTGACCTTATCTAGAGGGAAGTTTTTCGGAACTTTCCTGTCAGGACATTATAGCTTATACATTTGTGTAGGCTGTAGTGGGGTAGCCCATAAGGGGTACAACCCAATTATGGTTAGTACTTGTACCCAACTCTTTCATAGTTCATTCATTCTCGTTTCTTCTCATGGTATCGAGCAGGTTCCCTAGTGGGAACGCTACCTAGGGCCCACCACGATACGTTTTTTTTTTTTTTTTTCCTGCCCGGAGCGCGCTTCACCCTAGACTGAGTCGCGTGCCCTCCCTACCATCGCGCCGCCCTTAGCAGCCCCTCTCACGGCCCCTTGAGCCGCTCTTACGGCCCCGTGCACCGCCCTTGCGGCCCCGCGCACCGCCCTTTACGGCCCCGCGCACCGCCCTTGCGGCCCCTCGCACCGCCCGTCGACCCCGCGCGCCGCCCGTCGACCCCGCGCGCCACCCAAGCGGCCCCTTGCGCCGCCCGTCGGCTCCGCGCGCCGCCCTTGCGGCCCTTCGAGCCGCCCGTCGGCCCACCGTGCGCCGCCCTTGCGGCCCCTTGCGCCGCCCTAGCGGCCCCGATGCCTACTCCTTCGGTCCCGGCGCCGCCCTTCCCGGCCCCGGCGCCACCTCGGCTTGCCCCGTCGCCTACCCCTGCGGCCACGGCGCCGCCCTTCCCGGCCCCGACGCCGCCTCACCCGGCCCAGCCGCCGCTCCACCTGGCCCCGCCGCCGCTCCACTCGGCCCCACCGCCGTCCCCACGCGACCCCGCCGTAACCACCGGGCCCCAGCGCCGCCGAGCTGCTACCGAGCCGCCGCGCCTCCTTAGCCGCCTGAGCTGCCCGAGCCGCCCGGTCCCCGAGCTGCCGAGCCGCTGTCAGATTATTATAGCTGATGCATGTTTGTAGGCTATAGTGGGGTGGCACATATGGGGTACAGCTTTCTAGGGTTGTATTTGTACCCACCACTGACTTAGTCATTCCATTCCTGGTCATTTATTTTCACATGGTATAGAGCGAGTTCCCTGTGGGAACGTTGCCTAGGGCCCACCGAAGCGCGCCCCGAGGCGCGCACCTTTTTTTTTTTTTAGCGACCCCTCAAGTCGCCCTTTCCCTCGTGGCCCCGCCGTCCCTCAGACGCGGCCCCGCCACCCCTTCTGATCGCGGCCCCGCCACCCGATCGCGGCCCCGCCGCCACGTCGCGGCCCCGCCACCCGATCGCGGCCCCGCCGCCAGCTACGAAGCGGCCCCGCCACCTGCTCGACGCGGCCCTGCCGCCTACTCTAACGCGGCCCCGCCGCCCGCTACGACGCGGCCCCGCCGCCACCTCTTACGCGGCCCCGCCGCCACCTCTGACGCGGCCCCGCTGCCTGATCTGACGCGGCCCCGCCGCCACCTCTGACGCGGCCCCGCCGCCTGATCTGACGCGGCCCCGCCGCCACCTCTGACGCGGCCCCGCCGCCTGCTCTGACGCGGCCCCGCCGCCTGCTCTGACGCGGCCCCGCCGCCCGCTACGACGCGGCCCAGCCGCCGACTACGACGCGGCCCCGCCGCCCGCTACGCCGCCGGCCCCGCCGCCTGCTCAGCCGTGGCTCCGCCGCCCTCTCTGCCGGCCCCGCCGCTCCATCTGCCGCGGCCCCGCCGTCCCCGCCGCTGCACCTGCCGGCCCTGCTACTTCGGCCCCGCCGCCCCTGGTCTCGCGGCCCCGCCACCCTACCTGCAGCAGCCGAGCCGCCCACCTGCAGCAGCCGAGCAGCAGTGCAGCCGAGCCGCCCCGCACCCGAGCCGCCCTGCCGCCGAGCCGCCCGGGAGCCGAGCCGCCCTGCACCCGAGCCGCCCTGCCGCCGAGCCGCCCGGGAGCCGAGCCGCCCTGCACCAGAGCCGCCCTGCCGCCGAGCCGCCCGGGAGCCGAGCCGCCCAGCAGCCGAGTCGCTGAGTCGCCGAGCCGCCCTTCTGCAGAGTTGCCCGGCCTGCCCTACCTGGTGAGCACAGTCCCACTGTCACTGCGTGCTCTTCCCCTACTGCTTGCACTGCTTCGCTGTCGTCGTCATGGCTACCCCTAGTGTCCTAGCTTTTGACGCTGAGGGTCGCGCCATTGACTTTGAGGTCTGGGTAGACGACCTGCAGCTGTTTTTACAGTGCGATAGGGCAGACGGCCTCTCTCTCTTTGACCTTACCTCTGGCGCATCTCCTGCTCCTGCTGCTGATGCTGATCCCACTGTGCGCTCTCAGTGGGCCACCCGCGATGCTGCTGCACGTCTTGCTGTGCGTCGCCACCTCCCTACCTCTGAGCGCGCGCACTTTAGTCAGTACAAGAGTGCTCAGACCTTGTACGACGCTGTAGTTGCGCGCTACTCCTCCCCTGCCACTGCTGCACTGAGCCGTCTCATGCTTCCCTACCTCTTTCCTGACCTCTCTGCCTTTCCCACTGTCGCTGACCTCATTACGCACCTCTGCACTAGTGACACTCGCTACCGCGCCGCCCTTCCTGCTGAGTTCTGCGCTAAGAACCCCCCCCCCATGTACATCACTCTCTACTACGTAGTCGCACGCCTCCCTGACTCCCTTCGCTTAGTCAGGGACCACTTTCTCGCAGTCTGTCCCACCACCCTCACCGTCGACGTCCTCGAGAAGGCTCTCCTCGCAGCGGAGAAGAGCATAGTTGCTGTAGGAGCTTCTCGTGGTGACCCTCGCACCCCCATCTTTGAGGGGTGCTCTCCGTTCTCGTAGCCGCCGAGCCAGTTACTCCAGTAGTCTGGGGCGCTGTCCCAGTAGCCACTGTGTGCGCGCTCCTGTTGCCCGTGTGTCTGCAGCTTCAGTGGTCGTCTCCAATCTTCTCTCCCCCCATAGTCTCTCCTTCTCCTTACTTGCCCTTTGTGATAGCCTCTAGCTTTGCTTATATTTGTGAACTATAAACTGCTGCTTGTTGTGCTAATCATACCCCACTTTGACTATGGGGGTGTGTCAGAATGTGTAGTTTGTCTAGCCTGCAGTGGGGTACTCTATAGTGAGTACGGCCCCTTAGGGTTTCCTATATGTATCCACCTGCTTGATAGTGCAACCCCTCCTTTTTCTCATTCCTATTTCTGCCTGCTACTTTCGACATTGTGATCATCAGCGTTTCTGTACTGTGTTAGGTCTTGTGCCTACCAGGCCTCTCTTGCTCACCTCTTGACTTTGCTTGCACTTGTGCCAATCTGGCCTCACTTGCTCACCTCTTGACATTGCTTGTACTGTGATCTATATATTCCTGCACCTGCATGCTTACACTTGTTAGGTTGAGATCTCTGTACTGCTTGTTCACCTTGATATATAACTATGCATGTGAACTGGCCTTGTGGCATTTTGCTCATGCTCAGAATGTGTGGTGACGTCGTGATCCACCTTGAGCTTGACCTTGCGTTGTTTTGTTGCTTGTCCCTCACTTTGCCTATAGGGGTGTGTCAGAATTATACTCTAGGCTGTAGTGGGGCACTCCTTATGGGGTACAGCCCTGTTAGGTTTTGCCTCTACAATCCTTGTACTGTTCTCTTTCTAATCATCATTCCTCGTTCTAACTTCCACAAGCGCGTGAGTGACCGACAGCAGCATGTCTGACAGGCGAGTACACTCGATGTTTGTTACTCTCACGGAATGCGAATAAGTTGTTTTACTGTCATAATTGCGTAGGCGTGAAGTTACTGTCAGAATGTTATTACCTAGCCTGTAGTGGGGTGCTCTATAGCGGGTACAACCCAGCTAGGGTTTGCTATATGTATCCCAACTGCTGCTAGTGAACCACTCTCTTTTGCCAAACTTTCTCTTGCCTAGCTAGGGCTTACCTAGCTATGGCTCCTCGTTCTGCTCCTTATTTCAACATGCTATCAGAGCGATCACGCTCCTGGCCTGTGGGCCCACCTGCTTCCGCTGCCCTACTCTGTATCGCGCGCCCCGGAGCGCGCGACCTTCGATTTTTCATCCCGCCGCGCGCCCGCCGTGCGCCCCGAGGCGCGCGGCGGTTTCCTGCCGTGGGGGAGCCCGCGCGCGCCCTGTCCGTCCGTCGCGGCGCCCTGGGGAGCACGCGCGGCCCCCACCCTGCTTGTCGCGGCGCCCTGGTGAGCCCGCGCGCGCCCTGCCTGTTCGTCGCAGCGCCCTGGGGAGCCCGCGCGCGCCCCGCCCGTCCATTGCGGCGCCCTGGGGAGCACGCGCGCCCCCCACCCTGCTCGTCGCGGTGCCCTGGGGAGCACGCGCGGCCCCCGCCCTGCTCGTCGCGGCACCCTGGGGAGCCCGCGCGCGCCCCGCCTGTTCGTCGCGGCGCCTTGGGGAGCCACGCGTGCGCCCCCCGCTCGTCCGTCGCGGCGCCCTAGGGAGCCGCGCGCGCCACCCTCCCCTCCCCCCCCCCCCCCCCCCCCCCCGCCCCGCCCGTCCGTTTTTGCGCCCTGGGGGTCGCGCGCCGTCCCCCCTCGCCGTCCCTCGTGCTCCTGCCCCTATCCCACCCGTTTTAGGGTTTGGGGGTGGGGAGTGTGGAGGTGGCGGTTGTGGGGGTGTCGGTTGTGCGTTACTCCCATTGCTCCTCCTCCTCCCTAGTCTCCCACTACTGCAGCTGCCGCTGAGGGGGGTGGGTGTGTAGGAGCCTAGGGTTTAGGGTTTAAGGGGGGTGCCATGGGAGTGGAGCTAAGGTTCAGCAGGGGGTGTGTGAGGGGCGTGGGGCAGCTGGGGGAGGTTGTGTGAAGGTAGCTGTAGTGTCGCCTGCAACGCCTGTAGTCCGTCGCCCTTGCTTCGGTAGCCAGTGAGTCTGTTGCACCAGTCGCCAGTGGGTCCGTTGCTCCTGCCGCTCGTCTATAGCCGCGGAGCCAGTCACTCCAGTAGTCCATCGCCCTTGCTTCGGTAGCCACTGAGTCAGTCGCTCATGTGCCCGTGCCTCTGCAGCTTCAGTCGTTGTCTCCCATCTTCTCTCCCTCCACAGTTCCTCCTCCTCCTCACTTGCCCGCTGTGATTAACTCTAGCTTCGCTTACTATTGTGAACTCCTGCTCTATGCCTGCTTGCTCATTGTGCTGATAACACCCCACTTTGGCTATGGGGGTGTGTCAGAATGTTATTATCTAGCCTGTAGTGGGGTGCTCTATGTCGGAACATTATATAGCTTATACATTTGTGTAGGCTGTAGTGGGGTATCCCATAGGGGGTACAACCCAATTAGGGTTAGTACTTGTACCCACTTCTTTCATAGTTCATTCATTCTCATTTCAGTTTTCTCATGGTATCGAGCAAGTTCCCTCGTGGGAAATGTTCCTAGGGCCCACCAAGTCGAAACTTTTTTTTCCTGCCCGGAGCGCGCTCAACCCTAGCCCGAGTCGCGCTCCCCTTCCTCCACCTAGTCGCGCCGCCCTAGCGGCCCCGATGCCTACCTCGCGGCCCTCACGCCACCTTGCGGCCTCGTCGCCCGCCCTACGGCCCGCGCGCCACCCTTCCTAGCCCGCGCGCCGCCCTTTCTGGCCCGCGCGCCGCCCTTCCTGGCCCGCGCGCCGCCCTTCCTGGCCCCGACCCGCTGCCCTGCGGCCTCGCCGCCTACCCCGCGGCCCGCGCGCCGCCCTCTCCCTGCCCCGATCCGCCGCCCTGCGGCCTCGGCGCCTACCCTGCGGCCTAGCCGCCTACCTGCGGTCCCGTCGCCCTTACGTGCGGCCCCGCCTACTGCCTGCGGCCCCGCCCTTACCTGCGGCCCCGCCACCTACCGGCGGCCCCGCCCTTACCTGCGGCCCCGCCGCCCTCAACTGCGGCCCCGTCGCCCTTAGCTGCGGCCCCGTTGCCTGCCTGCGGCCCCGCCATTACCTGCGGCCCCGCCACCTACCGGCGGCCCCGCCCTTACCTGCGGCCCCGCCGCCCTCAACTGCGGCCCCGTCGCCCTTACCTACGGCCCCGCCGCCCTCACCTACGGCCCCGCCGCCCTTACCTGCGGCCCCGCCGCCGTCACTTGCGGCCCCACCGCCCTTACTTGCGGCCCCGTCGCCTGCTGCAGCGCCGCTCGCCAACCGAGCCGCCTCACCCAGCCGAGCAGCCGACCGCCGCGCCGCCCTGCAGCAGCACCGCCGAGCCGCCCAGCAGCCGAGCAGCCGGGCAGCCGAGCCGCCCAGCAGCCGTGCCGCCGTGCAGCCGAGCCGCCGTGCCGCCGAGCCGCCCTGCAGCCGAGCCGCCCGAGCAGCCCCGTCCGGTAAGCACAGCGCCTCTGTCACTGCACTACCCTTACCCTACTGTTTGCGCTGCTAGTCTACTGTTGTCATGGCTACCCCTAGTGTCCTCGCTTTTTACGCAGAGGGTCGGGCCATTGACTTTGACGTCTGGATAGATGACCTACAGCTGTTCTTACAGTGCGATAGGGCAGACGGTCTCTCCCTCTTTGACCTCACCTCTGGCGCCTCTCCTGCCCCTGCTGCTGATGCTGACGCCACTCTTCGCTCCCAGTGGGCCACGCGCGACGCTGCTGCACGTCTTGCTGTGCGTTGCCACCTCCCTACCTCCGAGCGTGCGCACTTTAGTCAGTACAAGAGTGCTCAGACCTTGTACGACGCTGTAGTTGCACGCTACTCCTCCCCTGCCACTGCTGCACTGAGCCGTCTAATGCTACCGTACCTCTTCCCTGACCTTGCTGCCTTTCCCACAGTCGCTGACCTCATGACGCACCTCCGCACTAGTGACACTCGCTACCGCGCTGTGCTTCCTGCTGAGTTCTGCGCCAAGAACCCCCCCCCCCATGTATATCACCCTCTACTACATAGTCACCCGGCTCCCTGACTCCCTTCGCGTAGTCAGGGACCACTTCCTCGCAGTGTGCCCCACCACTCTCACCGTTGACCTCCTCGAGAAGGCCCTCCTAGCGGCGGAGAAGAGCATAGTCGCTGTAGGAGCCTCTCGGGGTGACCCCCGCACCCCTGTCTTTGAGGGGTGTTCTCCCTCCCCCCTCTTGCCCTCTGTTGCTTCTGCTGCTGCGGCCGACCTCGTTGGTTTTGAGTCGGTCGGTGCTGCGTCTGCCCCTTCGGGGAAGCGCCGCACAGGCAAGGGCAAGGGGGGCAAGGGCGCTGGAGGAGCTGGCAGGGGCGGTGGAGGCGGCGGTGGAGGCAGCGGAGGGAGTGGGGGTGGTGGCGGGAGTGGTGGAGGGGGTGGGGGTACCGGTGGCAGCAGTGGAGGCGGAGGCGGCGGCGGTGGCGGAGGGAGCGGAGGCGGCGGTGGTGGCGGAGGCGGCGGCGGTGGCGGAGGCGGCGGAGGCGGCGGAGGTGGCGGTGGAGCTGGTCGCGGGTCTACGCAGAGGAGTGGCTCTGGTGGTGGTCAGCGCCAGCAGCAGCAGCGCGGTCGTGAGACCCTGTCCCCTCAACAGCTCCGTGAGTGGTACACTGCGCGCCAGCGGGGTGGGGGTGCTGGTCCGTGCACCTACGTTCCACGTACGGGCGACCGCGCGGGTGAGCAGTGTGGGGGTGCGCACCCCACCCAGCGCTGCTTTGGCCGCCTGACGGACGCGTGGCGTCACCACTATCTTGTAGGTCAGCACCACTCACCAAGTTTGTAGAGAACGAGGGGAGGTAAAGACCTGACAGGGTGCCAGAAGGGGTCGCCGGACACGGTAGGACAGTGGAGTAGTGGGCAAGGACAGGACCCCCAGAGGGGTCTGCCAGAGTGACCGCCACTGGCCGACTAAGTGGCGTGAGCGTGGTGCGGTCTCGAAAGAAGGAGCGGGAAGCACCCGAGTCAAGGGTGAAGGTGTGATAGGCCTGAGCCGACGTGGTACCTGAGAGAGCAGACGCACCAGCACCTGGGGCAGCAGACGCACTGGCACCTAGAGCAGCAGCCTCACCAGCACATGGAGCAGCAGCCTCAATGCCCGGGTCAGGCGGGACACACAAGTAAAAGTCACCCTCATCACTATAGACACAGCATACATGGCAGCAAGAATAGCATCAAACTCTAGATCAAAGATTGCAACCCCCGACCTAAAGAGCTCGCCCCAGTGAGGGATCTCAGTGGCGCCAGGGAACTGGAGACGCCAAGCGTCCGTCAGGCGGTCGAAGCAGCGCTGGGTGGGGTGCGGGCCTCCGCACGTCTCACCAGTGAGGTCGCCGGTACGCAGGACGTAGGTACAAGGACCAGCACCCCCACTCGGCTGACGCGCAGCGTACCGCTCACGAAGCTGCTGGGGGGACGGGGTCTCACGAGCGCACTGCTGCTGCTGGCGCGGACCACCACCGGAGCCACCTCTCTGCACAGGGCCACCCCGACCAGCGCCACCACCGCCGCCGCCACCTCCACTACCGCCGCCATCGCCGCCTCCTACGCTCCCACCGCCACCGCCGCCGCCTCCTCCGCCTCCAGTGCCGCCACCGACACCCCCACTCCCGCCACCACCCCCACCACCACCCCCACCCCCTCCGCCGCCTCCACCGCCACCTCCACCGCCCCTGCCAGCTCCTCCTGCGCCCTTGCCCCCCTTGCCCTTGCCAGTGCGGCGTCTCCCGCTAGGGGCAGACGCCGCGCCGACCAACTCAAGACCAACTAGGTCGGCCGCAGCAGAAGAGGCAACAGAGGGCAAGAGGGGGGAGGGGGAACACCCCTCAAAGAGGGGGGTACGAGGGTCACCACGAGAGGCTCCTACAGCGACTATACTCTTCTCTGCTGCCAGGAGGCGCTCCTTGAGGAGGTCAACGGTGAGAGTGGTGGGGCAAACAGAGAGGAAGTGGTCCTTGACCGAGCGAAGGGAGTCAGGGAGCCGGGTGACTATGTAGTAGAGGGTGATGTACATAGGGGGGGGTTCTTGGCGCAGAACTCAGCAGGAAGTGCAGCGCGATAACGTGTGTCACTAGTGCGAAGGTGCGTAGTGAGGTCAGCGAGTGTGGGAAAAGCGGCGAGGTCAGGGAACAGGTACGGCAGCATGAGGCGGCTAAGGGCACCAGTGGCAGGGGAAGAGTAGCGTGCAACTACAGCGTCGTACAAGGTCTTAGCACTCTTGTACTGACTAAAGTGCGCACGCTCAGCAGTCGGTAAGTGACGACGCACAACAAGACGGGCAGCAGCATCGCGTGTGGCTCACTGTGAGCGAACAGTGCTGTCAGCATCAGCAGGCGGGGCAGGGGAGGCACCAGACGTGAGATCGAACAGGGAGAGACCGTCTGCCCTATCGCACTGTAGGAAAAGCTGCAGGTCATCGACCCAGACCTCAAAGTGAACAGCTCGACCCTTAGCATCAAAGGTAAGGACACTGGGGGTAGCCATGACAGCAGCAGCCTAGCGGTGAGAGCAGCAGGCTAGAGGTGGCGCAGTAGCAGAGGTGTTGCGCGAAAGTGCTCTTACCAGACCGTTGGGTAAGGCTGCAGCGGCAGTTGTGGCCGCGGCTCGACGGCGGCGGCGACTCGAGGGCGGCAGCGGCTCGGGGGCTCGGTGGCGGCTCGGCGGCACGGCGGCGGCTCGGCGGCTCGGCTTCGCGGTGGCTCAGCAGCTCGGCGGCGGCGGCTCGGCGGTGGCAGCGGGTGCTGCGGCTCGGCGGCTCGGTGGCTCGGCAGCTCGGCGGATCGGCGTGTCAGAGGTCCACTGGTGATCCCCGATTGATCCTAGGGAAGGGTTACAGGCATGTTAGCCCGGGGGGTTATGGGCGCACTGACCCGCTACTTAACAAGCCCTTTTATCCCATTGGTCTAGTGGTTGGGATTCTGACATGGTATTCAGAGCAGGTATCGTCCTCTTGCTGCCTTCCTTCCGCTGCCTATCGTCCTTCCGCGCGCCTCTGGCGCACGGCGATTTTCTGCCCGCCGTGTGCTCGGGGCGCACGGCGGGCAGCGCGCGGCGTCTCCCTGCCCCGCACGCGGCCTGCCCTCACGCCGCCTGCGCGCCTGCCTCATGTCCACGCGCGGACCTGCTTTACCCGCCCGTACCCTCCACTTCGCGGCGCCCTGCGTGGCGCCGCTCCTGCTCATCGTGACGCACCTGCGGGACCCGAGCGTCGCCGCTCCTGCTCGTCGCGACGCCCCTGCAGGACCCGCACGGCGTCGCCTTGCTCGTCGCGACGCCACTGCGGGACCCGCGGGGCGACGCCACTGCTCGTCGCGGCGCCCCCTGGACGCCGCCCCGGCTCGTCGCGGCGCCCTTGGGGCGTCACCCCTGCTCGTAGCAGCACCCCTTGGGCGCCGTCCCTGCTCGTCGCGGCGCCCTCCCCCCTGGCCGCCGCCTCTTCCTCACCTGCGCCCGAGCCAGAAGCAGCCGCGTGCGAGCCTACCTTGCATCAGCGCCACCCATGGACCTCAGCAGCCGCCCCTGGACCCCGCGAGCCGCCCCAGCAGCAGCCCACGACGCCGACCCTACAGCTGTATGCGCCGCCGCTCCTGGACTCGGTATGCATGTTGCTGCCTGTTGCTGCCTGTGCCTGTGCTGCCTGTTGCTGCCTGTTGCTGCCTGTGTCTGTGCTGCCCGTTGCTGCCTGTTGCTGCCTGTGCCTGTGGTGCCTGTTGCCGCCCGTTGCTGCCTGTGCCTGTGCTGCCCGTGCCAGTGCTGCCTGTTGCCTCCCGTTGCTGCCCGTGCCTGTGCTGCTAGTTGCTGCCCGTGCCTGTGCTGCCTGTTGCCGCCCGTTGCTGCCTGTGCCTGTGCTGCCTCTTGCCGCCCGTTGCTGCCTGTGCCTGTGCTGCCTCTTGCCGCCCGTTGCTGCCCGTGCCTGTGCTGCCTGTTGCTGCCTGTTGCTGCCCGTGCCTGTGCTGCCCGTTGCCGCCCGTTGCTGCCCGTGCCTGTACTGCCTGTTGCTGCCTGTGCCTGTGCTGCCCGTTGCTGCCTGTTGCTGCCCGTGCCTGTGCTGCCCGTTGCCGCCCGTTGCTGCCCGTGCCTGTGCTGCCCGTTGCTGCCTGTTGCTGCCCGTGCCTGTGCTGCTCGTTGCCGCCCGTTGCTGCCCGTGCCTGTGCTGCCCGTTGCCGCCCGTTGCTGCCCGTGCCTGTGCTGCCCGTCGTGCGCCCTGCTGCTGCCCGCGCCCTTGTGCGCTCTGCTCTGCTCCGTGTTGTTGCCCTGCATGCACGGCTGCCCTGCCTTGCTCCGCGCTGTTGCCCTGCACGCGCGGCTGCCCTGCCCATGCCTATGTTGCCCCTGCTCTTCCCCCCCCCCCCCCTTCTTTGTCTCCCTGCTGCGCGTGCAGCCGTGGAACGGAGGCTATGGGGGTGGCGGGTATGGGGGTGATGGGTGTGTGTGATCCCCTTCCCCTCCTCCTCCTTTCTCTCCCACTGCTGCAGCTGCCGCTGGGGGGGGGTGGGTGTGAGGGTGTGGGGGAGCTGGGGGAGAGGTGCTAGGGTTGTCGAGGAGTGTGGAAGGGGGAGTTGGAGGACTGAGGAAGGTTCCAGGAAGCAGCCGCCTTGGAGCCAGCAGCTTCACCTGCCAGCAGCTTCTCCTCATACAGTCCCTCCTCCTCACTTGCCCTCTCCTTCTCCTGCGCTTGGTGTACCCCTTCAGGGGGTGTCTCTGCATTAGCTTCTACTGCAGGCAGTTATGGGGGAGTGTCAGAATATATCTGTAACTGCCTGTAGCTGTAGTTAGTGTAGTTGTTATAAACTTTGTTTGGTGGTGCACCTTCTTTGTTCCTTTGCTATATGTTGTTGCAAACCTATAGTGAAGCCCCTCTTTCTCCTTTCCAACTTTCTCGACACTCTCCTCAACCCTAAACTCGATCTCTAAGAACCTAACTAAAATATGGCTCCTAAGCCCACCTATGCTTAGTGATTTCAACATGGTATCAGAGCGAAGGTCTCGGGTTCGAATCCCGGTGTATGCACTTCGGACATCCCAGTGCGGGGGGGGTGTCAGAGGTCCACTGGTGATCCCCAATTGATCCTAAGGAAGGGTTACAGGCATGTTAGCCCGGGGGGTTATGGGCGCACTGACTCGCTACTTAACAAGCCCTTTTATCCCAATGGTCTAGTGGTTGGGATTCTGACACGGCGGCGGCTGCAAGAGAGCGGCAGGATGGCCGCGAGAGGGCGGCGACGGGGCCGCGAGAGGGCCGCGACGGGGCTGCGAGAGGGCGGCGACGGGGCCGCGCGAGGGCGGCGACGGGGCCGCGAGAGGGCGGCGACGGGGCCGCGAGAGGGCGGCGACGGGGCCGCAAGGGCGGCAACGGGGCCCCAAGGGTGGCGACGGGGCCGCAAGGGCGGCGACGGGGCCGCAAGGGCGGCGACGGGGCCGCTGTGGGCGGCGACGGGGCCATTGAGGGCGGCGACGGGGCCGTTGTGGACGGCGACGGGGCCGTGAGAGGGGCGGCGACGGGGCCGCTGAGGGCGGCGACGTGGCCGCAATGGGCGGCGACGGGGCCGCTGTGGACGCCGACGGGGCCGTGAGAGGCGGCGACGGGGCCGCTGCGGGCAGCGACGGGGCCGGTGAGGGCAGCGACGGGGCTGCTGCGGGCGGCTACGGGGCCACTGAGGGTTGCGACGGGGCCGCTAAGGACGGCGACGGGGCCGCAATGGGCGGCGACGGGGCCGCCAAGGGCGGCGAA